ATGTTGCAAATATATATTGCATTATATTGCAATATTGCATTTGGGGACTCGGATGATTTAGTGTATTCTCGTTAAAGGGATCCGGTAACTTTGTCTCAGATTCTGAAACAAAATTCTGGATTTAGCTCATGATGCAATGATATTATAAACCTTTAGGTCAGTCAGGAACCCCATGACTTTTACAAGCTGATCGCCTGTCTGATTATCAAGATATTTATGATTGGAATTACAAATTTTGAAAACCGTTCGCCTGACGGTTTTCATAACACTACAGTCTATTGGGGAAAACGAGTATGGTAAAACGGTCACTCCAAGATTTTTACTTTTTTGAGGCACTTCTTGATCATTTTGAAGCGCAATTTTTTAGGGCTTCAATATTACACCATATCACAGACACTGATAACACGTAGGGCCGTGTATCTCAGATTTAACATTGTCAAACGATCCCTTTAAGTTATATAACCAGCATGTATGGACTATAAATGATAGCTATGAAAAGTGATCAATTAAGGAAACGAAATTGTCTGGCACGGACTCATGGATCATAGCGTTATGTGAGTTATAGTTATGACACAATGAGTACGCGAGCGTGATCATCAAGGAGCTCCAAATGGCTCCTTCCTCCCTCGTACAATCTTTACGGGAAGGATATGATTTACATGGAGCTCCATCCACGAAAGGACATAGCAAGCAGAAGTTTTTTTTCTTCTTCTTCTGTTTATTTTATTAAAACAAAACATGAGAATCACATTTTTAAAGATTCGATAAATGAAGAAGAAAAAAATACAAGAAAAAAAAAAAAAAATAAAATAAAAAAAAAAAAGAAAGGTCAGAAGTTGCTTCCGTTGTCGCGACCATCTCTGAATCAACCCACTATCGTTTGGATCTTACCAATATTGTGTCCGCCACATCCAGAGCAGCCTAATGAATATAGAGAAATAGAAAGAGAGTCAGAGAGAGAAAGAGATAATGTTTCCAATTATCAATAACGTTTATAATGTTCTCAATTATAGGCCCAGTGAAAAATCGTAAAGTCTGCTCATTTCATATGCCAGGATAATCTGGATCAATTCCCCAACCCCAATGTGTTTACTTAAAGGTAATACAAAGTTTTGGTATGGGGTCATAAATTTGGTTCAAATGAACATATTGGAAGCATATACTATCCTACAATATTCAGTGATCGTTGTCGCGGTTGAAATCGACTCTAAAGTTATGAAATTGTAAATTATAAACACTTTATGTTGAATAGCTCCCTCTCAAGTTCAAAATATCAATTAAGCTATGAAACAATGTTTATTTACTAAAGTTGACTGATTAGCTATTCTCGTTTGGAAATTATATACCACAACTAAATACTTTGAGATTTTCATGGTCGCAGCTACCATTGTACAGCCGTAGGAGCTATTTGAAATTAATCAAAATTTACCGGGAGCACCGGTAAATCTTTATATTCAATTTTTCTCGAAAGCAGAAGTGTTTTAGGGGCTAAAATTTCCGGCGTTTTTAATAAATCCACAGGGGCATCCAAATATATTAAAATTGTAAAGAATCACTATCCACCCATTTTTCAAAATTTCCCAAAACTTTGTAATACCTTTAAAGGTAAAAAAGACGATACAAATTAAAGTCAAAGTTTTATTCAACGATAATAAGAACGATTTTAAAAAACATTTTAAAAACTACGATCAGCAGAAACTTTGATCAGTGCTTTTAGCCACACAAAAAGTTATGAAAACAAGAAAATAGTAAATTCGGTAATATTTGGTAGTCAACTGGTTAATTTGGCAATCGCTTTTTGTACGATGTCACTCTTAAGTGACGCGTCAAAAACTACCCCAGTCCCTGACGCAGACCCATATTGCGTCAGTAAATGGCGCCTTGTCTGCAATGGTCATTCAAAAGTTTAAGATTCAAGTTTTAAGGGCAAAAGCTTAAGATTTAACGGGGGGGGGGATGGAAAAAGACCATGAACGTACACCATCTGCCACCGATATGACGGCACTGAGGAGCGCATGCGGCCTCTGGATCTTTAGACTGGAGAAAAGTGTCAATGTCCCCTCCAGTACCGAAGAGATCAACTAGTCCCTCCTTGGTCGCCACGCCTGGGATAACCTAAAGGATAGAGAACATCTGGAGCTATTAACTCATAGCCTGCCATAAGGCTGCATGCACGCTATCGTTATAGTGCTTTGTACATGCGAGAGAGCCATCGCTTGAGTGCCATGTGCGTGCCAATGCAGCATTCGTAATAGCAGATATTTTTCATGATCATTGGACTGTGCGTGTATTTGCACTCGCTATTCATAGAACCATCGCGTTAATCAGATTATCT